TCTTTATTTCCTTTTTTGCTTTGTTGGGGGTGGGTGGGATGGATATTTGGTTGGGGATTAATTTTAGTATAATTGTTCTGTTTTTGTTTTTTGTTGTTTTATTGGTTGTGTATAGTTTGTGTTTTATTTTAAAGGGGTGGGATCAGGGCTGTCTGGGAGTGGGGCCCCAGCCAACACAATGGCTGGGACAAGTTCCATGGGGGGGGGGGAGCACTGGGACATCCGATCTTGATGATCATGGGCAGGAGGAGGAGTTACGCTAAGACCAGACCATGTCATTACCAAGGAGGCAGGTTTAGTCGTTGTTTGAAGACTATCCCTGCCTCCGGGTCTGGCCTTGACCGGATGGATACTGGAATCAACAGGGGAAACCCACATGACCTGAAGGTGTTGCTGTGTAATGCCAGGTCAATGATGAATAAAATCACTGCCATCCACGACTTGATTGTGGATGGAGGACTTGCCCTGGCACGTGTGACAAAGACCTGGTTGGATGAAGCAGATGGGCCTGTCCTTGCCGCTGCTTGCCCACCAGGTTTCTCTTATGCACAGCAACCCAGGTCATGTGGGTGGGGAGGGGGGGTTGCAGTGATTTTTAGGAAGTCATTAGCTTGCATCAGGCGTCCTACTGGGAAGACCCAATTCTCTGAGTGCATGTTCTGGAAGTTGGGCAATAGGGGCAGTACAGGATTCCTTTTGGTGTACCGACCTCCCCACTGCACCAAGGATTCCCTGTCTGAGCTGCTTCAGGTCGTGGCGGATGTTCTCCTGGAGACACCTAGTTTGGTTGTCCCAGGGGATTTTAACATCCATGCCGACATGACCTTACAAGGGGCCGCTCGGGACTTCGTGGAAAGCATGGCCTCCATGGGGCTGTCCCTGAATAAGTTGGGCCCAACTCATAGTCATGGACATGCCTTAGACCTGGTGTTCACCTCTAGTGACGTGGCTGATCTGACACTTAAGTAAAAGTGAAACAAAAGAAGTGCCAGGGTCAGATCACCTCCTGGTGCAACTGGACTTCTCCGTGACCCTTCCCTTCTGCAGGGAGGTGGGACCAATTTGGATGGTCCGCCCCTGCCACTTAATGGGTCCAAATGGTTTCCAGAGAGTGGTAGGGCATGCTTTATCCCATGTTGATGGCCTTTCAGCTGATTCCCTGGTGGCCCGCTGGAATGTGGAGTTAACCAGGGCTATCGACTGTCTGGCTCCGAAGCGCCCTCTCCAATTGCATGGAGCCCAGACAGCCCCGTGGTTTTCTTCGGAGCTGAGGGCAATGAAACAATCGCTGAGACGGCTAGAGTGTCGGTGCCAGAAAACTCATTCCAAATCTGACCGGATACAGGTTAGAGCTCAACGTTGAGCCTACCAAGTGGCGATAGCGATGGCGAAGAAGACTTTCTTCACCGCCTCTATTACATCTGCAGAAAATAGTAGCAGGAGACTCTTTCAGGTGGTCTGCAATTTAACGGAACCACCTTTACCACCGGGGCCTTGTAAAGATCTCCTGCAATGATTTTGCAAAGTTTTTTTTTGCAGATAAAATCACTGATATTTGGAAGGAGCTAGACACCACCATGGGAGCAGGGCTGGGGCAGGAGAGTGCTAGAGCCCTGTCTGGTCAAGTTGCATGGAATCAATTTCAATCCGTTACCCCCAAGGATGTGGACAGGCTGCTTGGACGCGTGAAACCAACCACCTGTCTCCTTGATCCTTGCCCATCCTGGCTAATAAAAGCAACCCGGGAAGGGCTGGGTGATGGGCTTTGCGGGGTGGTGAATGCTTCCCTCTGTGAGGGAAAGTTCCTAGATCTGCTGAAAGAGGCGGTCATTAAACCGCTTCTTAAAAAAACATCTTTAGACCCAGTCAGTATGGCCAACTATCGCCCAGTCTCAAATCTTCCATTCTTGCGCAAGCTGATTGAGCGAGTGGTTGCTGAACAACTCCAGGCATGCCTGGGGGATGCGGCCGATTTGGATCCCTTCCAATCGGGATTCAGGCCTCATCATGGGACTGAAACTGCCTTGGTCGCGCTAGTTGATGATCTCCGGCGAGCTAGGGACAAAGGTGAAAGCTGTTTCCTAGTTCTGCTGGATCTCTCAGCGGCCTTTGATACAATCAACCATAACATCCTTCTGGACCGTCTAGAGGGACTGGGAGCTGAGGGCACAGTGGTTTCGCTCCTTCCTCCTGGGCCGTGTTCAGAAAGTGGTGGTGGGGGATGAGTATTCAGACCCCTGGGTTCCGTCCTTCCCCCATGCTTTTTAACATCTATATGAAGCTGCTGGGAGAGATCAGGGGTTTGGGACTGGGTGTCCATCAATATGCAGATGATACCCAGCTCTACCTCTCTTTCAAATCAGAACCAGTGAAGGCGGTGAAGGTCCTGTGTGAGTGCCTGGAGGCGGTTGGAGGATGGATGGCAGCTAATGGATTGAGGTTGAATCCTGACAAGACAGAAGTACTGTTTTTGGGGGACAGGAGGCGGGCAGGTGTGGAGGACTCCCTGGTCCTGAATGGGGTAACTGCCCCTGAAGGACCAGGAGTGCAGCCTGGGAGTCATTTTGGACTCACAGCTGTCCATGGAGGTGCAGGTCAATTCTGTATCCAGGGCAGCTGTCTACCATCTCCACCTGGTACGCAGGCTGAGACCCTACCTGATCGCGGACTGTCTCTCCAGAGTGGTGCATGCTCTAGTAATCTCCCGCTTGGACTACTGCAATGCGCTCTACATGGGGATACCTTTGAAGGTGACCTGGAAACTACAACTAATCCAGAATGCGGCAGCTAGACTGGTGACTGGGGGCGGCCGCCGAGACCACATAACACTGGTCTTGAAAGACCTACATTGGCTCCCAGTACGTTTCCGAGCACAATTCAAAGTGCTGGTGTTGACCTTGAAAGCCCTAAACGGCCTCGGTCCTGGATACCTGAAGGAGCGTCTCCACCCCGATCGTTCTGGCCGGACGCTGAGGTCCAGCACCAAGGGCCTTCTGGCAGTTCCCTCCCTGCGAGAAGCAAAGCTACAGGGAACCAGGCAGAGGGCCTTCTCGGTAGTGGCGCCTGCCCTATGAAACGCCCTCCCATCAGATGTCAAAGCGATAAACAACTACCTGACATTCAGAAGACATCTTAAGGCAGCCCTGTTCAGGGAAGTTTTTAATGTGTGACATTTTAGTGTATTTTTGGTCTCTGTGGAAGTCGCCCAGAGTGGCTGGGGAAACCCAGCCAGATGGGCGGGGTACAAATAAATTATTATTATTATTATTATTATTATTATTATTATTATTATTATTATTATTATTATTAATGTCTCCCTAAAAAAAACTGCTTTTCTGTGAACCGCCCATAGAACTCCTGGAATAGGGCGGTATATAGATTAAATCAATAATAATAATAATAAATTCTGCATTGTTCTCCTTAAAGAGCTGCTTCCTGCTTTGAAGTGCATCTTGGCAACAGCTGAGTTTACGCCTCCTCCTCCTCCGTCCTTTCCACTAGCAACGCAATGGCCTCTGAGACCCCCTCTGAACGGCCTCTTCTCAGAGGTGGAGTGAAAAGAGGAGCCAGGCAGCTTACTCAGGTAGGGAAAGAGCAACGGGAGCAGGGAGGAGGGAAGAGGCACAGATGGGACAACTCAGCCTCCCTCTGTGTGGAGTGGGGATGATGGGGATCTAAGAGTAGCTCTGTCTTCTTCCTCTTCCTCTTCTTCCTCCTCTTCCTCCTCTTCCAGGCCCTCTTGACCTTTGAGGAGGTGGCTGTGTTTTTCACGGAGGAGGAGTGGGCTCTGCTGGATCCAGGCCAAAGAGCTCTGCACAAGGAAGTCATGGAGGAGACTTATGAGATGGTGGCCTCTCTAGGTAAGGGCAGATTTTTATTCCTCCTGGCTGTTAGACGTTGAAGGTGTGAATCTCCTGTTTGAGCCATTTGTTCATGTCATGTCTTCCTCTTTGGTGACCACTCATAGCCGAGTAAGATTGTCTTCCATGAACATGATCTTAATGGTGTGTCTGTAAGTGAGTCCAATTCTGGATCCACACATCATTCCGCAGTGGGGACATAGGTTTCCAGTCAGGAATTAATCACTGCGAGAGTTTGCCAAACATGCTTTCCTCTTAGCTTGTTTCTCCCTTTTGGCCTGAGTTTTTGTTTCTTCAAAGTCCATTACACCTTTGGTAAAGGGTGGTTGGCGCTGTGGGTTAAACCACAGAGCCTAGGACTTGCCGATCAAACGGTCGGTGGTTCGAATCCCCTCAACGGGGTGAGCTCCCGTTGCTCGGTCCCTGCTCCTGCCAACCTAGCAGTTTGAAAGGATGTCAAAGTGCAAGTAGAAGGTAAACGGCGTTTCCATGTGCTGCTCTGGTTCGCCAGAAGCGGCTTAGTCATGCTGGTCACATGACCCAGAAGCTGTATGCCGGCTCCCTCGGCCAATAAAGCGAGATGAGCGCCGCAGCCCCAGAGTCAGCCACGACTGGACCTAATGGTCAGGGGTCCATTTACCTTTACCTTTATTCTCCAATGGGAGCGCTCGCAGGCCAATGTTTCCCAATTTTATGAGATTATACTGCATTTTTTAAAATTTCCCTTAAGAGCGTCTTGAAACGTCTTTTGTTGTCCTCCGTTATTTCTCTTTCCATTCTTAAATTGGGAATTGAGTGGTTTCTTTTGAAGGCAATAATCAGGAATCCGAACAACATGACCAGCCCAATGAAGTTGATGTTGAAGATTGTAGTTTATAGCAACTCTGTACTTTTGTCAGTAGGTAACTCTTCGTAAGCTCATATTGTGGTATGAATTTCCCCCTAAAACCTATGTAAAATCTACAAAGAGGCTCACAGGGTAATAATGGTGGCATGAAGTTTGCTGGTCAGTGTCATTTATCAACTTTTAATGGACCACCAGATACTTTGCTGTCTTTGTTTCACAAGATTAATATTTTTAAATATTTTTACAGTCACATATGACATAAACAGCTCTTCTGATTTTCTTATTCCACATAGCAGAGACTCTGATACTCAAGTCTGAGCACATCTCCTCGCTTGGAGCAGAAAAAAACAGGGATGTTGTCCTGGACCAATTGAGAGGTACATACTTCCACTTTGCTGTGAGGCTGTACTTTGTATGTCTCCTTTCAGTGTGTACAAATATAAAAAGAGCCCTTTTGGATCAGAGCAAGGGCCCATCTTTCCCAGCATCCTGGTGCAGGTTTAGGCGATGTGTACAGTTGGTTGGAATGTATCAGTGAGATATTACAGATCATGGAGGAAGGAGAAAACTGAATACAGAGGCATAGCATTTTCACAGGAGGGGGGAAGATGTGTCCCTCCAGTGGTTGCTGCACTACAACTCCCATCATCCCTGGTCATTGGCCATCTTTGCTTAGGTTGAGGGTACTTAGAGTCCAACCAAATCTGGAGGGCCATAGATGCCTCATCTCAGCACAGAAGGTTCTCTTGGTGCTCAGTGTTACATGCGAGTTGAAGGTAGAACTGGATACTAAGGGTTCTTGAAATTATTTTCAGATTTCCTTTCCTTTCTGAAAACTTTAGTACATAGAAGAGGGAAGGATGCTGGAGGTGTTAAGAGAAGGTGCTGATTGGTCTTGCTGTGTGTTAAGTTCTCTGGTTCTCTTCCTTGAATACCCAACAATATTTCTTTATCCCCCACTTTAAACCAGGTGATGAAGAAGGCAATCAGAATTTTGAGGGGCCATCTGTAAAGTACTTCAGCATTAGTGATCACCTTAGCACACATCTACAAACTAACACAGGGAAGAAACACTTTAAATGCATGGAGAGTGGAAAGAGCTTCAGTAAAAATGGAAACTTCACTAGACATCAACGAATTCACACAGGGGATAAACCATTTAAATGCATGGAGTGTGGAAAAAGTTTTGCTTATAGTAGCAGCCTTAGAATTCATCAACGGACTCACACAGGGGAAAAACCATATAAATGTATAAAGTGTGGAAAGAGCTTCAGGCAGTGTTCACACCTTACTGTACATCTACAAACTCACACACGGGAGAAACCTTTTAAATGTATGGAGTGTGGAAAGAGCTTTAGGGATAGGGAAATACTTACTGTACATCAACAAATTCACACTGGGGAGAAACCATTTAGATGCAAGGATTGTGGGAAGGGTTTCAGTGAAGGTAGGAAACTTACAATACATCAACGAACTCACACAGGGGAGAAACCATTTAGATGTTTGGAGTGTGGAAAGAGCTTCAGTCAGAGTGCAAGCCTTACTAGACATCAACGAACTCACACAGGGGAGAAACCATATAAATGTATGGAGTGTGGGAAGAGCTTCAGTGAAGGTGGAAAATTTACTAGACATCAACAAATTCACACTGGGGAGAAACCATTTAAATGTATGGAGTGTGGGAAGAGCTTCAGTCAGTGTTCATACCTTAATATACATCAACGTATTCACACAGGGGAGAAACCATATAAATGTATGGAATGTGGGAAGAGCTTCAGTGAAAATAGAAACCTTACCTTACATCAACGAATTCACACTGGGGAGAAACCATTTAGATGTATGGATTGTGGGAAGAGCTTCAGTCATGGTCCACACCTTACTGTACACCAACGTATTCACAAAGGGGAGAAACCTTTTAAATGTCTGGAGTGTGGAAAGAGCTTCAGTACAAATGGAAACTTTACTAGACATCAAGGAATTCACAAAGGGGAAAAACCATTTAAATGTCTGGATTGCGGAATGAGCTTCACTGAGAATGGATCTCTTGCTAGACATCAACGAATTCACACAGGGGAGAAACCATTTAGATGTATGGAGTGTGGAAAGAGCTTCATTCAGTGTTCACACCTTAGTAGACATCAACGAACTCACACAGGTGAGAAACCATATAAATGTATGGAGTGTGGAAAGTGCTTCATGTGTAGTTGGCAACTCAATGTGCACCATCAAAGTCACACCGGGGAGAAACCATTTAATTGTAAGGATTGTGGGAAGGGTTTCAGTGATTGTATAAAACTTACAATACATCAACGAATTCACACAGGGGAGAAACCATTTAGATGTATGGAGTGTGGAAAGAGCTTCATTCAGAGTTCACACCTTAGCAGACATCAACAAACTCACACAGGGGAGAAACCATATAAATGTATGGAGTGTGGGAAGGGTTTCAGTCAGAGTGGATCTCTTAGAAAACATCAAAAATCTCACAGAGAAGCAATTGCTTAAATGAAAGGCGTGTGAAACGAGTTTCAATTACAATGGAGTTCTTAAATAACGCCTGCTGACGGTCACGGGAGAGAACCCATTTAGTTTTATGGAGTATGCCACGTTTTCCCCACAGAGTTCACTTTGTACCTCATATCAACAAACTCATATAGGGAACAATAAATTGTAAATGCATGGAGTATATTTGATGTTCTGGTGTTTGTATGGAAAGTTGTACATACATGTATTAAAGCAAATAAAATGTCTCATAATAGTAAGTATGATGAAAGCTATAATGTACTGTTAGGGATGTGCAGAATGTGATTCTGGAGTGCTCCTTGTGAGTGAACATGTGCTGAGAGTCCGTTGATATTTGGTCTTTGGCAGAGAGAGTTGGGAATGGAGAGTTGTGGAAAGTGGAGTGTGACGGAAAGTTTGTTTTGCTGGGCAGGTGGACTCACCAAGTGTTTTCTTTTTCCCTGCCAGCAAATGGTTAACAAATGACTGCTTCTGATTGGCCAGGGTTCCAGGAGAGGGAGTTGAAAAGGAGAGGTTTTGGAGAGACAGGTTTCAGGTTGGGGATAGGTAATGAGAGGAGAGAGAGTTGGTTTTGGGTAGAAACATCGACTCTGAGGAATATATCACAAGCTAGAGAAAGAAGGCTCTGAGCTTAGTGTGAAGGACAGTGTGTGGTGTCCTGTGAGAGTAATAGGCCAGGAATTAACTGGGAGGCTGAGTCAGGAGAAGTAGAAGCTGGAAAGAGACAGTCTACTTAGGTCTCATTCCAGTCAGGAGGGGAGAGATTCTTCTAGAAAAAGAGAAGTGTCCCAAACCAGTTAAGAGGGGTGTGGAGATGCCTTGGGTCTGTTGCTTGGAGTACCTCAGGAAAAGGGTTGTCAAAGGGGTGTGTAACTCACAGGAAGTCCCACCTTGTTAAGGGAGAGAAAGGAAGACCTGAGTCAGATAAGGCCCTGCACAGGTGGGAGAGCAGTACTGTAGTAGTACATCTTGCATTCTTTTACTAAACTACTTATGGTATTCTGGAACTTTGGGAGTGTTGCAGGAACCCCCCCCCCCAATGATTCAGTTTGTACAAACTCGACACACACACGAAATATGCTACACTTCTGTTATAAATTCATAGAAAATCAACCATAAATCGGATCTGCACCGTTCCACTTTTATTTTACTCCATGAAGGAAGGACTACAAAAAGGGGAAAGTTTGATACAGAGCAGCCATAATCCCTTGAGCGTACCAACACGTACACAGGAGCCCTGCCCAGTCGCTATGCCAACCCTGATGGTCCTAGACAGAAGACCATCAAGGTCACAAAGAACTTGCATATAGGAGTGGATTCAGCACAGAATGGAACAAAGGACAATGATCAGCTCTCCCCTCTGGGGGCAGGAAACTGCAAACTCCCCTTTGTCACCTGGAAAGTACTCATGGGGAGGGGGAAAGGGGGAACCAGCCAGGTGACAGGACACTCAGATTACCACCACAACTCCTCTCTCAACCCTCCTTTTTGTGATGTATCAATGATGTAGTTGTGATGTAGTTTTAGGGGTGTAGTTTTGGGGATTAGTTACTAATAAAAGTTGGGGTCTTCTTTTCTTCTGGACTTCCATCTTGCTTCATCTTGTTGTGGGTGAGAGTCCTGTCACGACAGTCTCCAATAAAGGCCAAGCATACAGGCTGCTGTTTTGCTTCAAATTGTCCTGGTTGGGGTCTTTGTTTTTTGTCCAAGGGAGCCCTCGGATTCCTCCGTTAACAGGAGAAATGTTCTCTCAGTGAGGGTCTATGCTTTGCACTTGGCAGGAAAGTCCCATAACACAGTGGTACCTCGGGTTAAGAACTTAATTCATTCTAGAGCTCTGTTCTTAACCTGAAACTGTTAGCTAATGGGGCCTCCTGCTGCTGCCGCCGCACAATTTCTGTTCTCATCCTGAAGCAAAGTTCTTAACCCGAGGTACTATTTCTGGGTTAGCGGAGCCTGTAACCTGAAGCATCTGTAACCTGAAGCGTATGTAACCTGAAGTGTATGTAACCCGGAGTACCACTGTAATTGAGATGTGCATTTTGTTTTGTTCTGCCTTTGTTGTGTTCTCAAGTGTCAAAGTTAGCTCTCCTCTGGTCCTTCCACATACCATAGCAACCACCCCTCAAAATGCACCCCTGGGCTTTCACTGAATGACCACGAGCAATATCTAGGCAGCTAGGAGGTGACCCTCCCTGGAGAGAAATGCCCCATCTTGCCCATCTTTGGGGGTTTGGCTTTGCTCCTGCGGCCAAGGGTCCTGTTCGCTGCCGGGAATACATGAATTTCTCCCTAAATAAATGGGAATATAGAGCATGGGTAGGCAAACTAAGGCCCAGGGGCAGGATTCGGCCCAATTGCCTTCTAGATCCAGCCCATGGACTGTCCGGGAATCAGCGTGTTTTTACATAAGTAGAATGTGTGGTCTTATTTAAAATGCATCTCTGGGTTTTTTGTGGGGCATAGGAATTCGTTCATTCCCCCCCCCAAAAAAAAATATAGTCCGGTGCCCCCACAAGGTCTGAAGTGTAGCAGGAACCCCCCCACCCCAATCATTCTGTTTGTACAAACTTCACACACACTCACACTCACACACTACATACGCCACATTTCTGTTATAAATTCATAGAAAATCAACCATACATCGGATTTGCACTGTTCCATTTTATTTTACTCCATATGACAAGAACTATCAAAGGGGGGGGTGACTTTGTCCTGGTCAGCCATAATCCCTTCACCATCCCAGCACATCCACAGGAGCCCTGCCCAGATGATCCCAGACAGAAGACAATCAAGATCACAAAGAACTTGCATATGGGAGTGGATTCAGCATGGACTGAAACAAAGGACAATGATCAGATCTTCCCTCTGGGGGCAGGAAACTGCAAACTCCCCTTTGTCTCCTGGAAGTGACTCATTGGGCAGGGGGAAAGGAGGAACCAGCCAGGTGACAGGACATTCAGGTTACCACCACAACTCCTCCCTCAACCCCTCCTCTCTGTAATGTATGCATGATGCCAACCCCTCCTTTCTGTAATGTTACAGATAGGTAGCCGTGTTGGTCTGCCATAGTCAAAACAAAAAAATTCCTTCCAGTAGCACCTTAAAGACCAACTAAGTTAGTTCTTGGTATGAGCTTTCGTGTGCAAGCACACTTGTGTATCTGAAGAAGTGTGCATGCACACGAAAGCTCATACCAAGAACTAACTTAGTTGGTCTTTAAGGTGCTACTGGAAGGAATTTTTTTGTTTTTTCTGTAATGTATGCATGATGTTTCTGGGGGTGGGCTTGAGCTAGAGGATGGGAATTTCAAAAGTTTTTACAAGACCTGGCACACTATCTTTCTGGGTCTTTCCTCTCTCTTGCAAGTGAGGGGAACACCCTGTTGCAACAGTTCAATAAAGGCCAAGCCTACAGGCTGCTGTTTTGCTCCAAGTTATCCTGGTTGGTGTCTTTTTTTGTCCAAGGGAGCCCTCGGATTTTTCTGGTAACAGTTGGACAGTGGACTGGCCCCCTGCTGAAAAAGTTTTCCTACCCCTGATATAGAGCTTGCCGGCAGGGAAGGGCATTTCTGCTTGCAGGGAGGGGGAGGCGAATCTCTTGCCCCTCCCCCTCCCTCTGGGTCAATGAGCTCCGCTTCCTAGAGAGGCAGGAAATTTTTTTGGAGGGGGAGAGGCTATTTGGAGGGGAGGGGTCTCCATCCTCATTCCAGGAAGAGAAGCGCACTTGGAGAAGAGGAGAAAGAGGTGCCGCATATTGGGGGGTTATTTGGGGAGGGGGCGAGTAGGATTTGCTTTCCCTCTCCCTGAATCTACAAACAGGGCAGCTGGGAAAGGAGGCGGGAGGATTGGGGGGGGGTGCGCAAAGAAAGCAGGGAGGGGCTCCGCTCTTTCGCTGTGGGAATGGGGGGGGCGTGATGCAGGCCATCCTGTTGTAAAGTGGGGTCCCCCCCCAACAGGGTTTGCATTGCAAGCTCTTCTCTGAAGCGCAGAGATCAAGCCAGGCTCCCATGGTGGGGGGAGAGGAGAGGGGCGAAGGCACTTGAGACGAACCACAAAAGGGTGCCCCCCCCCAGTGCAACAAAGGGATTTAAAGCCCCACCCTGTGCATGTTGACTCAGAAGTCAGTCCTTCGTTCAAAGGGGGGGGGGCAGCCCCATTCCGCCTAGTGATGCTTCTCTCTGCTTAACACCCTCCATCTCCCTTTTCACTCCTGCCCCCTCCTGCCTCCCCCATCGCTCCCCCCAGGCTCTGTCTCCTGCGACAGGGGAGGGGTGAGCTCCTCCAGGACCCTGACCTGCCCCCCCCTAAATCTGCTGCCGCAGCCCCTGCCTCAGTGGGTCGGAGATCGGGAGGGCAAGCAAGGGGGAGGAAGTGGAAGCAGCTGGAGACCAGAGTCACCTCTGGATTGGGGGAGATTTCAAATTGGGTGGGGAGTGAGAGATGGACAGTGCCAAGGGAAATCTGCCTCAGCAGCTTCCTGAGTAAGAAAGAGGCTGATGTGAGAAGGAAGCAAAAGGAAACCAGAATTTACTTCTTGGGAAGGGGGCTGACCCCCAGCTAGTCTTGGGGAATGAAACTGATCCTTCCTCGCAGATTTTGATGCGCTTTCTTTCCAAAAAGAGGCTTCTCCAGATATCGTCTTGGGACTTTGTCAGGAAGGAGAATCAAAGCCCCCAGGGGTGGGAGATCTGGCCTGTCTTGCAGGATTGGCCCAGCGCAGAGGTGCTGAGGGACTTTCTCTGCCGGCTCTGCCAGCCTCACTCCTGCCTGGCCTCGTCCCCATCCAGGGTGCCAGGAGGGTCTTATAACACTATAGGTGATCTAAAGCCCACCACCTGGGCAGTGCTCACACCAGAACCCTGCAAGGTGGGCCAGGATGACAGCCTGTTCCGTGTTTGGAACAGGGGTGGAGCCCATTATCCAGCCTGAGGGCCATATTCGCTCCAGAGCAGCCTTCCAGGGGCCACTTTCCATTCATAGGCGGGGCAGAGGACAGAGTTGGTGGGGCTATGGGGCTGACTCTGAGCTTTGTCCAGGAGCTGCCTGCCTTCCAGGGATATTTTCCAGCCAATCAAAAGCCCCCCAAGAGGCAACTGGGAAGCGTTGGAAAGAGGGTGTGGTGCTGGGGAAATTCCTGAGGGCCAGAAAGAGAGACAGAGGTGACTTGAGGGCCAGTTTAGCCCTTGGGTCTGAGGTTCCCCACCCTGCAGTTCGGGTGCTGGGCTTCCACCAGGGAGACCCAGTCTCCCATCCCCCTGCTCAGGAGGGATGCCCTGTGCCCAGTTTGGACCCCCTGATTATTTCTCCTCCTGTCCTTCCTCACGGTGTAGGGAAGATAAAAGGGCACACACACACACACACAGAGAGAGAGAGGTTCCTAAGAGGAAGAACTAGGGCGGGGGTCGGCAACCTGCGGCTCCAGAGCCGCATGTGGCTCTTTAAAGCCTTTGCTGCGGCTCCGGGGCGGTGGCGAGGGGAGGAGGCGAGGGGCGGAGGCGAGGGGCGGAGGTGACCAGCCTGCCGCCCGGCGGGCGGGGCGCCGTAAAGCAGAGCGCCCCCCTCGCCAGGCAGACATCCGCAGCGTGGGGAGCCTTGCCGGACTTCCCGGCAAGGCTCCCGACGCTGCGGATAGCAGCCTGCCGCCCGGTGGGCGGGGCGCCCTAAAGCAGAGCGCCCCCCTCGCCAGGCAGACATCCGCAGCGTGGGGAGCCTTGCCGGAGGTCCCGGCAAGGCTCCCCACGCTGCGGATAGCAGCCTGCCGCCCGGCGGGCGGGGCGCCGTAAAGAAGAGCGCCCCCCTCGCCAGGCAGACATCCGCAGCGTGGGGAGCCTTGCCGGAGGTCCCGGCAAGGCTCCCCACGCTGCGGATAGCAGCCTGCCGCCCGGCGGGCGGGGCACCGTAAAGAAGAGCGCCCCCCTCGCCAGGCAGACATCCGCAGCGTGGGGAGCCTTGCCGGAGGTCCCGGCAAGGCTCCCCACGCTGCGGATAGCAGCCTGCCGCCCGGCGGGCGGGGCGCCGTAAAGAAGAGCGCCCCCCTCGCCAGGCAGACATCCGCAGCGTGGGGAGCCTTGCCGGACTTCCCGGCAAGGCTCCCCACGCTGCGGATAGCAGCCTGCCGCCCGGCGGGCGGGGCGCCGTAAAGAAGAGCGCCCCCCTCGCCAGGCAGACATCCGCAGCGTGGGGAGCCTTGCCGGAGGTCCCGGCAAGGCTTCCCACGCTGCGGATAGCAGCCTGCTGCCCGGAGGGCGGGGCGCCCTAAAGCAGAGTGCCCCCCTTGCCAGGCAGACATCCGCAGCATGGGGAGCCTTGCCGGACTTCCCGGCAAGGCTCCCCACGCTGCGGATAGCAGCCTGCCGCCCCGCAGGCATCGGCCAGCCCCACAAGCTCGGGGGACAGCAGGGAGGCGAAGCGCCGCCATCCCGCTGTTCCTCGACCTGGTTCAGTTTCCCCGACCTGCTTTTGGGGGGGAAATAAAGGGAAATTTTTCCCCCTTTATTTCCCCCCCAAAAAACTAGGTGCGTCCTATGGGACGGAGCGTCCTATGGGGCGAAAAATACGGTATTTTTATAATGACGAATGCCTCATTATTAATTATTATTTACATCAGGCACTGATTATGATTTATGGTACACTGGGGCCCTGATTAATTTTCTATGGCATTTTGGGGCATTGATTATTGGGCATAGCAAGTCGCGGTCGCGTGTTATTTGTGCTTTGTGACCGTTTGAAGTGGGGTTTTTTTCTTGGGCGGCTGGGCGGCACGAAGAGAGGGATTATTTTTATAATGATGAGGATGACATTGGGCCCTCATTATTAATTATTATTTACATCAGGCACTGATTATGATTTATGGTTCACTGGGGCCCTGGTTAATTTTCTTTGGCATTTTGTGGCATTGATTATGCAGTCGCGGTCGCGTGGAATTCCACGTGGAGTTAGTTGCCTGAAGCCCCTTTTTAGTTGCTTGAAGCCCCTTTTTAAACTTAAGCAGGTGAAAGTTTGGTGAATTGCTGCCAAGGAGTGTGGTGGAGTCTCCTTATTTGGAGGTCTTTAAGCAGAGGCTTGACAACCATATGTCAGGAGTGCTCTGATGGTGTTTCCTGCTTGGCAGGGGGTTGGACTCGATGGCCCTTGTGGTCTCTTCCACATATGTATGTGAGCAGGTCTTCTCCAACATGAACTATATTAAAAACAAGCACCGATCACGCCTCACAGATGACAGCTTGCAAGCCTGTGTGAAAATGAAGGTGACGTCTTACAGCCCTGATGTGCAGACACTGAGCACTGAGGTTCAGGAGCAAAAGTCCCATTAACCTGGTTACCTGGTTGTAAATTAAATATTTTAATTAGCTATTAATTTGTCCTTTTTTCTTGAGATTGACAGCTGACTGCACGATCCTGTATATATAGCATTAAGGCCAGAAACAATATATGTAGTGTTATATTTGTTTTAAATGTTGCAATGTTTTTGCGGCTCCCAGTTGTTGTTGTTTTTTCGGAAACGGGTCCAAGTGGCTCTTTTTGTCTTAAAGGTTGCAGACCCCTGAACTAGGGGGTTATAAGCCACTGAACTTCATATCTCTGTCCCCTAAACTACAATCCATGTTAGCGCATAGAGTGCTCTAAATATTTCCATCTGCTCCACTTCTGCACCCTGGTGCCCTCCAGGTGTTGGTTTTCTTCTGACTGCAAATTCTGCCCATAATTTAAGAGTTTCCCTTATTTTCTTCATTCTAAATGTATCAAAGGGTCAGAAACTGGTTTCCTGGGTGGCTGTTTGGAGGAAAGGAAAAGTTAGGTCTATTGACCATAATGCTTTTTGCGAAGCTTCATTAAGAGTTTTGGATTTAATCCTAGAACTTTCCAAACCAAAGCTGAATGTCCCCTAAAGACTGAGGCAGCTTATAGTATTATAAAGTTCCTGTAGAAAGGATTACATCCTTCCAGTTCCCTGCCTTTGTAATTAGAATTTGTGAGTATTAGTTTATGAGTATTGATATTTGTAATTTGTAACAGGTATGCTATCTGTGTAAATGTATCCCGCCCTAATTAAATCCATCTTTCTGTGAACCACCCTGAGACCTTCGGGTATAGGGCAGTATATAAATTCAATTAGTTCTTCATTGTTCTCCTAAAAGAGCTGCTCCCTGCATTGAAGTGCATCGTGGCAACAGCTGAGAGGGTCGCAGAAGAAGCCCAGTTTACGCCTCCTCCTCCTCCTCCTCCATCCTTTCCACTGGCAACGCAATGGCCTTCGAGACCCCCTTTGAACGGCCTCTTCTTAAAGATGGAGTGAAAAGAGGAGCCAGGCAGCTTCCTCAGGTAGGGAAAGAGCAACGGGAGCAGGGAGGTGGGAAGAGGCACAGATGGGACTACCCAGCCTCCCTCTGTGTTGAGTGGGGATGATGGGGATCTAAGAGAAGCTCTGTTTTCTTCCTCTTCTTCTTCCAGGCCCTCTTGACCTTTGAGGAGGTGGCTGTGTTTTTCACGGAAGAGGAGTGGGCTCTGCTGGATCCTGGCCAAAGAGCTCTGCACAAGGAAGTCATGGAGGAGAATTATGAGATGGTGGCCTCTCTAGGTAAGGGCAGATTTTTATTCCTCTTTTATTCCTAGACGTTGAAGGTGTGAATCTCCTGTTTGAGCCATTTATTCATGCCGTGTCTTCAAATTTGGCGACCCCTCATAGCTGACTAAGATTGTCTTCCATCAACACGGTCTTAATGGTGTGTCCATAAGTGACTGTGGAGTCCAATTCTGGATCCACACATCCTTCCACAGTGGGGACATAGGTTTCCGGGCAGGATTTAATTACAGTGAGGCTTTGCAAACGTACTTTCCTTTTAGCTTGTTTTCCCCTTTCGTCCAGTGTGGTGTAGTGATTAAGAGCGGTAGACTCGTAATCTGGTAAACTGGGTTCGCGTCTCCGCTCCTCCACATGCAGCTGCTGGGTGACCTTGGGCCAGTCACACTTCTCTGAAGTCTCTCAGCCCCACTCACCTCACAGAGTGTTTGTTGTGGAGGAGGAAGGGAAAGGAGAATGTTAGCCGCTTTGAGATCCTTCAGGTAGTGATAAAGCGGGATATCAAATCCAAACTCTTCTTCTTCTTCCTGAGTTTGTGTCTGCGAGTGCTCCCTCACTGCGAAATGTGAGGTTACAGGGAACCAGGCAGAGGGCCTTCTCAGTAGTGGCGCCCGCCCTGTCGAACACCCTCCCATCAGATGTCAAGGAAATAAACAACTATCTGACTTTTAGAAGTCATCTGAAGGCAGCCCTGTTTAGGGAAGTTTTTAATTTGGTTGGATGCCACCCAGAGTGGCTGGGGAAACCCAGCCAGATGGGTGGGGTATTATTATTATTATTATTATTATTATTATTATTATTATTATATTATATTATACATAAAGGGAGGAAGGAGAAAGCTGAATATAGAGGAGCAACATTTTCACAGGAAGGGGAAGATGGGGAAAGTGGTGTCCCTACAGATGTTGCTACACTACAACTCCCATCATCCCTGGTCATTGGCCATCTTTGCTTGGGATGATGGTACTTAAGAGTCCAACCATGTCTGGATGGCCATAGATGCCTCGCCTCAGCACAGAAGGTTCTCTTGGTGCTCAGTGTTACATGGGAGTTGAAGGTAGAACTGGATACTAGGGGTTATTGAGGCTATTTTCAGACCTTTTCTTTCTCTTTTAAATTCTCTTCCTTGAATACCTAACAATATTTTCTTATCTCCCACTTTAAACCAGGTGATGGAGAAGGCAATCAGAATACTGCAAAGTACTTCAGTGTGAGTGAACACATTAGCACACACCTACAAACTAACATAGGGGAGAAATCCTCTAGATGCATGGAGTGGGGAAAGAGCTTCAATCAGAGTGCAAGCCTTACTAGACATCAACAAATTAACACCAGGGAGAAACCATTTGGATGTATGGATTGTGGGAAGAGCTTCAGTCAGTGTTCACACCTTACTGTACATCAATGTATTCACACAGGGGGGAAACCATATAAATGTATAGAGTGCGGAAGAAGCTTTAGAGAAAATGGAAGTCTTACTGTACATCAACGAACTCACACGGGTGAGAAACCATTTAAATGTTTGGAGTGTGGGAAAGGTTTCATTGAGAGTGGAGCTCTAAAAAAACATCAACGAATTCACACAGGGGAGAAACCATTTAAATGTATGGAATGTGGGAAGGGTTTCATTGAGAGTGGGGCTCTAACGAAACATCAACGAATTCACACAGGGGAGAAACCGTTTAAATGCATGGAGTGCGGAAGGAGCTTCAGTGAAAATGGAACTCTTACAAAACATCAACGAATTCACACAGGGGAGAAACCATTTAGATGTATGGATTGTGGAAAGAAGATCAGGGATAGGGGAAATCTTACTGTACATCAACGAATTCACACCGGGGAGAAACCATACAGATGCATGGGGTGTGGAAAGAGCTTCAGACTTTGTTCGCACCTTACTATACATCGGAGAACTCACACAGGGGAGAAACCATATAAATGTATGGAGTGTGGAAAGAGCTTCAGTGAAAATGGAAGTCTTACCTTACATCAACGAACTCACACGGGTGAGAAACCATTTAAATGTATGGAGTGTGGAAAGTGTTTCAGGCAGTGTTCATACCTTACTATACATCGAAGAACTCACACAGGGGAGAAACCATACAAATGTTTGGAGTGTGGAAAGAGCTTCATGCGTAGTTGGCAACTCATTGTGCACCATCAAAGTCACACTGGGGAGAAACCATTTAATTGTAAGGATTGTGGGAAGGGTTTCAGTGAAGGTAGAAAACTTACAATACATCAACGAACTCACACAGGGGAGAAACCATATAAATGTTTGGAGTGCGGAAAGAGCTTCATTTGTAGTGGGAAACTCACTCTACACCAACAAAGTCACACCGGGGAGAAACCATTTAAATGTATTTGTGGGAAAGGTTTCATTGAGAGTGGAGCTCTTAGAAGACATCAACGAACTCACACAGGAGAGAAACCATTTAAATGTCTGGAGTGTGGAAAGAGCTTCAGTGAAGCTTCAAAACTGACCATACATCTACGAGGTCACACAGGGGAGAAACCCTTTAAATGTATAGAGTGTGGACAGAGTTTCAGTCACAATGGAACACTTACTAGACATCAAAGAACTCACACAGGTGAGAAACCATATAAGTGTATGTTTTGTGGAAAGTGCTTCAGACAGTGTTCAGACCTTACTCTACATCAACGAACTCATACAGGGGAGAAACCCTTTAAATGTAAGGATTGTGGGAAGGGTTTCAGTGAAGGTAGAAAACTTACAATACATAAACGAACTCACACAGGGGAGAAACCATTTAGATGTTTGGAGTGTGGAAAGAGCTTCAGTCAGAGTGCAAGCCTTACTAGACATCAACGAACTCACACAGGGGAGAAACCATATAAATGTGTGGAGTGCGGGAAGAGCTTCAGTGAAGGTGGAAAACTTACAAGACATCAAAAATCTCACAGATAAGCAATTGCTTAAATGAGTGTGGAAAGTGTTTCAATTATAACAGTTCTCAATTAACACCTACAGACTGTCACAGGGGGAACCAATTTCGTTTTATGGAATGTGCCAAGTTTTTCCTCACAGAGTTCACTTTGTCCCTCACATCAACAAACTCATATAGGGAACAATCAAGTGTAAATGCATGGAGTGTATTTGATGTTCTGGTGTTTGTATGGAAAGTTGTACGTACATGTATTAAAGCAAATAAAATGTCTCATAATAGTAAGTGTGATGAAAGATAAAGTGTACCGTTAGGGATGTGCAGAATGTGATTCTGGAATGCTCATTGTGAGTGAACATGTGCTGAGAGTCCGTTGATATTTGGTCTTTGGCAGAGAGAGGTGGGAATGGAGAGTTGTGAAAAGAGGAGTGTGATGGAAAGTGTGTTTTGCTGGGCAGGTGGGCTCACCAAGTGTTTTCTTTTTCCCTGCCAGCAAATGGTTAACAAATGACTGCTTCTGATTGGCCAGGGTGCCAGGAGAGGGAGTTGAAAATGAGAGAGGGAGTTTTGGAGAGACAGGTTTCAGGCTGGGGATAGGGAATGAGAGGAGAGAGAGTTGGTTTTGGGTAGAAACATCGACTCTGAGGAATATATCAAAAGCTAGAGAAAGAAGTCTCTGAGCTTAGGGTGAAGGACAGTGTGTGGTGTCCTGTAAGAGTAACGGGCCAGGAATTAAATGGGAGGCTGAGCCAGGAGAAGTAGAAGCTGGAAAGATACAGTCTACTTAGGTCTCATTCCAGTCATAGAATCATAGAGTTGGAAGAGACCACAAGGGCCATCGAGTCCACCACACTCCTTGGCAGCAAATTCCACTGTCAAACAGCTCTTACTGTCAGGAAGTTCTTCTTAATGTTTAGGTGCAATCTTCTTTCTTGTAGTTTGGAACCATTGCTCCATGTCCGCTTCTCTGGAGCAGCAGAAAACAACCTTTCTCCCTCCTCTATGTGACATCCTTTTATATATTTGAACATGGCTATCATATCACCCCTTAACCTCCTCTTCTCCAGGCTAAACATGCCCAGCTCCCTTAGCCGTTCCTCATAAGGCATCGTTTCCAGGCCTTTGACCATTTTGGTTGCCCTCCTCTGGACACGTTCCAGTTTGTCAGTGTCCTTCTTGAATTGTGGTGCCCAGAACTGGACACAGTACTCCAGGTGAGGTCTGACCAGAGCAGAATACAGTGGCACTATTACTTCCCTTGATCTAGATGCTATACTTCTATTGATGCAGCCCAGAATTGCATTGGCTTTATTAGCTGCCGCGTCACACAGTCAGGAGGGGAGAGATTCTTCTAGAAAAAGAGAAGTGTCCCAAATCAGTTAAGAGGGGTGTGGAGATGCCTTGGGTCTGTTGCTTGGAGTACCTCAGGAAAGGGGTTGTCAAAGGGGTGTGTAACTCACAGGAAGTACCACCTTGTTTAAGAACCAAAGTACTTAAGTCCAAATAAACCAAAGGTTGGATTTAGACAAGAGAGAAGGCCTGGCAAAAGAAACATCTAAATTTGAAAAAGAGCTAACTCATAATAAAGAATGGGGAGTGAAAGAAGAGCAGGTTAAAGCTGCAACGGTGAGATGGGCACAAGACCTTGGATATAATATCTAAATGGAACAATGGGAAAGATGGAAGGAGGATATCAGATTCACAGCGTGCTATAATCTCAGGGAAATCCTTATGAAAATGCTATATAGCTGGCACCACACTCCAGCAAAACTTGCTAAAATGTACAAAGGTAGATCGCCAACCTGCTGGAGATGTAAAAAAGATACAGGATTATTATCTGCACATGTGGTGCAACTGTATAGTCCTCTGTGAATTTTGGGATAAACTATATCATGAATTTAAATAATTATTGAAATTTAGATTTTTAAAAAACACAAAAGCCTCTTCCTCTTAGGAATAATGTCAATGGAAATTAAAAAAGATATAAGACCACTGTTCATGTATGGGACAATGGCAGCCAGAATATTAGTGGCAAGGAACTAGAAAAATGAAACAGCACCCACTATAACAGAATGGCAGACGCTTAGGATAGAATACCTCCAGCTGGCTAAGATGACGGGGAGCGTAAGAGGGCTTTCAAATCAGAAAGTATATAAAGAATGGAGTATATTCAAACATTATATAAAAACTTATTGTTCAAATAAAAATCTAGCAGAACTAAATTGATTCTTGTAAAGTGCAATGCGTAAATGTTTACCTACTGTAGTGTATAAAGATAAATCAAGATAATAGACGATGGTGCGTTAAAGTGTAAATAACAACATTAATACAATGAGAAGAATTGGAAGTCTTTTTATTCAAAATTTAATATCTGGTTGTATAACAATGCAAACTCTTTTATCTTTTCTTTTCCTTTGTTTGCCCTCACCCTTTTTCTTACTTCTATGTATGTATATATATATATATTTGTATTTTAATTCAATAAAGCTGGATAGTTGTGCTTAAAAAAAAGAAAAGAACAAAGTACTGAGCGGCAACAGCTGTGCAACAACTGAGAAAGAACTGAAGTGAAATAACTGGAAATAAGCTGAGCATTTACCATTCAGTCTAAAAACCTGTGACATCTACCTGAAGTGAAGTAACCGAACATAAGCAACTGAAGTTTATAAGAAGCTGTGCTTGATTAGAAGTCCATAACATCAGTTAGATTTAGTATAAATATTATTAGGTGAACGGTTACCTGAAATAACATCATAACCTGAAGTAACCTTTGTTTTACCCACTTTGTGTCATAAACTTCCTTTGTTTAATAAAACCTTTATTGTTTGTTTGAGCAAATGCTGAGACTCCAAATCATTAAGTTTTCCCTCACACAAATCCCCCACTAGATAATCTAGGGTACTTTGTAGAAATTCGTGTTACTGGTATACTATGAGGTGGTCGCACTCTATTTAAGTGAGGACCAGCCCAACAAGGCCAGGGTGAAAAGTGCCGTTGCGGCGTCACATGGAGCACGACTGGTGTTTAGGAAGCAGGATTAGCTCTGGAATCTTAGAAATGTGGAGTTGAAAGGGACTCCAAGGGTCATCTAGTCCATCTCCCTGTTATAAATTCATTGTTTTACCTTTCCTTCTCATTCATGGCTACATTAACAGCAAAGTGGATCAAATCCCTGGTGGCAGCTGGAATAATGGAGGTGCTGAGGGGAACAACCAACATGGGGAGGGAAGGTGGCACAGGGAAATGTGGGCATTGCCAGTGGTTTCAGGAGAGTCATTTCCCTGCGGAGAGAGGGATCTCTGTGCCCCCGTAATTGGCCCATCTTTCAGAAATCTGTAGAAAGCTGGCAGTAAAAGAGGCTGAAAGCAGAGTTCATATGGAGCTGCTACTCCCTCTGCTGGCATTGAGCATTTGCCCATGACATGATGAAGTGACAGCAGGTGCTGCAAGCTGCCCACAGTTGGACTTCACCCCCAAAGGCCCAGCTCCTGCCAACCTAGCAGTTCTAAAGCACACCAGTGCAAGTAGATAAACAGGTACTGCTGTGGCGAGAAGGTACACGGCGTTTCCGTGTGCTCTGGCTTCTGCCACATGACCCGGATAGCTGTCTGTGGACAAACGCCGACTCCCTCAGCCTGAAAGCAACCCCATAGTCGCCTTTGTATGGACTTAACTGTCCAGGGGTCAGTGGGGTGTAGTGGTTAAGAGCGGTAGACTCGTAATCTGGGGAACCGGGTTCGCATCTCCGCTCCTCCACATGCAGCTGCTGGGTGACCTTGGGCCAGTCACACTTCTCTGAAGTCTCTCAGCCCCACTCACCTCACTCTGTTGTGGGGGAGGAAGGGAAAGGAGAATGTTAGCCGCTTTGAGACTCCTTCGGGTAGTGATAAAGCGGGATATCAAATCCAAACTCTTCTTATCTTTTACATATGCAAATGTTTCAATGGATTTTACACATGCGACTCTCCCAGGCAAATTTTGTTGCATTGTGAGTCGCTTTGGAATGCCTGACGATAAATGAATTGGAAAAGAATTAATAATTCAGCCCCCTACCCCTGCAACCGTCTGCATCATTAATTAGATGCAGTCATTAATTGGCCCATCCCCTCTCCCACTGTACCTCGAAGCCTCCCCAGCCAGTGCAGACCATACTAGATGAATCACTCAGCCCACTTCCGCTTCCTGTGTCTGCATGCAGTCAGAGGCCCAAGATGGGATAAGGAGCGATTTTTGAGAAAGATTTGGCTGCAGAAGCAGACGGTATCACATGGTTTAATTCAGCATTATTGCACAAAACTGACAACGCAGAGGTGCCATTTTGTTTTTTTGTTTTAGCTAAAAAGAAATGCTCGATACAGACTTTCAAGCCAGGCACTGTATATAGTATCGCGTCCTAATATGGACCCCCGCTGTCCTGCAAAACCCACCTTCACCAGGCATCGACACCTCTCCTAGGTGTAGCAGGATTCGAACTCACTGGAAGTCTATTCATTATGGGCGACCTGTTATTGTTATTATTATTATTATGGAGGTGGCGGACTCTCCTTCGCTGGAGGTTTCTGAACATAGATTGGAAGGCCCACCTGTCACAGGTTCTTTACTCGAAATTCCTGCATTGCAGGGGGTGGACTAGATGGCCCTGGGTGTCCCTTCCAGCTCTCTGATTCTATGGTGCTTTTATTAAATCCAAGATGCCGGCTCCGATAGAAATTTGTTGCCCACGCTCAGCTCCACCATGGGACGCACACGTTCTGAGCATCACCGCAGTTGGTCCTTTCATGGAAACTCTGGTATTTATTCCTTTAATTCAGCAATTTAGTTAATGTGGGAACAGCTGCAGTTTCTAAGAAGTGTTGTCTAGGGTTGGTCAAAGAAGCTGTTTGGACACTGGAACGGGCCCCCTCGGAAGGTGGTGGACTCTCCTCTCTTGGACAATGGCTTGGTGACCATCTGTAGCAAATTCCTTAGCAAGGGGTTGGACGGGACCGCCTCTCCTGGTATGCCCCGCGGAGGACCTTAAGGTCCACAAATGACAACATTTTGGAGGTCACAGGTCGCAAGGTGGTTAGATTGGTCTCAACTAGGGCCAGGGCCTTTTCAGTACTGGCCCCGACGTGGTGGAATGCTCTGTAACAAGAGACTAGGGCCCTGTGACACTTGAAATCTTTCCGCAGGGCTTGTAAGACTGTTCCGCCTGGCCTTTGGTTTGGACTCAGTTTGACCCTTATGTTTCCCTCCCCTTATGGTCTTGATCTATCGGCTACTTTTAAAATGAAGCTGCATTTTAAATTGCATTTTAACCTGTATTTTAAATTGGTTTTTTCCCCCTTTCCTTCCCCAATTATGTTTTTACTGTGATTTTATTGGTGTTAGCCTCAATGAGCCCAGCTCTGGCTGGGGAGGGCGGGGTATAAATAACATTTATTTTTATTTTTTTATTATGATTTCTGGGGTCCCTTCCAACTCTAAACTTCTGTTTATTTAATTAGTTCATCTGTAGTTCTCTGGCAGGTTCAACGACATCAATTATAGGGAGCCATGTGCTTTTCTCCCAAAATGAAGCAAGGGGTTGGGCTCAGGACTCGCAGGATCCTACCCCGTGTTGATGATCTGGTGCCGTTTAAGCTGGATGCTCTGATAGACGGGATCCTGACCCGTGTGGACGATCTGGTGCCTCTTCAGCTGGATGCTCTGATTGAAGCACACCCCGCACTGGGAGCACTTGTACGGCTTCTCTCCCGTGTGGATTCTCTGATGTTTGATAAGGTTGGAGCACTGGCTGAAGCTCCTCCCGCACTCGGAGCAGCCGAAGGGCTTCTCCCCAGTGTGGATCCTCAGGTGCACTTTGAGGCTCCTGCTGTGGCTGAAGCTCTTGGGGCACACCGAGCACTTGTAGGGCTTCTGGCCCGTGTGGATTATCTGATGTGAGTTGAGGCTCCTGCCGTGGCTGAAGGTCTTCCCACACTGCAGGCACTTGTAGGGTTTCTCCCCCGTGTGGATCTTCTGGTGGGAGCTGAGGTAGGAGCTATGGCTGAACTGCTTCCCGCACTCGGCACACCGGTAGGTTTCCTCCACCATGTGGATCCTCTGGTGTTTGAGGAGGTGGACCTGGTGGTTGAAGCTCTTCCCGCACTCGGAGCATTTCACAGGCTTCTCTCTGCCGTGGACGTACCGGCGCTTCCCTGCAGGACGTTCCTCCACGATCGGAATCTCATCCGCCTCGCCCCCTTCGAACACAAAGGCTTTGGCCCCCCACTTCTGCGTCTCCTCAGCTGCCCTTCTCTGCCCTTCACCCTCTTGGCAACCCTCTTGCCCGTTACCTGAGGGAACCAAAACCAGAAATTCAATCAGGGAAGAGAGCTGGTGCTCAACACTGTTTAGATCAACAGAGCAGAAAATATTTAATGGGGAGGCAAACCCTTCCAAATAAAGGGAGAAGGTCATAGAATTGTGGAGCTCTATGAGCAAGAGGGACGTGGGTGGCGCTGTGAGTAAAAGCCTCAGCGCCTAGGACTTGCCGATCAAAAGGTTGGCGGTTCGAATCCCCGTGGCGGGGTGCGCTCCCGTTGCTCGGTCCCAGCGCCTGCCAACCTAGCAGTTCGAAAGCACCCCCGGGTGCAAGTAGATAAATAGGGACCGCTTTCTAGCGGGAAGGTAAACGGCGTTTCCGTGTGTGGCTCTGGCTCGCCAGAGCAGCGATGTCACGCTGGCCACGTGACCCGGAAGTGTCTTCGGACAGCGCTGGCCCCCGGCCTCTTGAGTGAGATGGGCGCACAACCCCAGAGTCTGGCAAGACTGGCCCGTACGGGCAGGGGTACCTTTACCTTTACCTTTTATGAGCAAGACGGTTTGAGCATATTACACCGACCCTGGTCTGAATGTACTGGCTACTGGTTAGTTTCCTGGCCCAATTCAAAGTGCTGGTTTTGACCTATAAATCCTTAAAACGGCTCAGGATCGCAGTACCTCAAGGACCGCCTCTTCCCATATGAACGTACCCGGACCCTGAGATCATCTTCTGAGGCCCTTCTTCATGTGCCTCCTCCTCAAGAGGTCTGGAGGGTCACAACATGAGAACGGGGCCTTCTCTGCAGTGGCTCCCCGTCTGTGGAATGCTCTCCCCAGGGAAGTTCACCTGGCGCCTACATTACACACCTTTAGGCACCAGGCAAAAACGTTGCTTTTTAACCAGGCCTTTGGTTGATCTGTTTCACATCCAACACCCTTTTAGAATGTGGCTTGGGGGCAGGGCGGGTTATTGGGTTATTGTTTTCGGTTTGTTTTTATATGTTGTGGTCTTTGTGAACCGCTCTGAGACCTCCGGGTATAGGGTGGTTGTTAGCAAAGCTCAGGTGCTGACAGGAGAAGAAGAAGCAGGCACAGAGAGAGAACAGTTAACAACGGAAGGCCGAGAGCAGCTGTAATCTGAGCTCTGAACAAAGGGGAGACGAAAGACAGGGCCAGAGTGACAGGCGGCTGTGTGAGAGCTCCAATAGTGAGTCAGATGTTGGAATGCAGGAATATCAGCGGTCTATAAATCGAATTAATAATAGAAGAAGAAGAAACAAGCTTTCTCCATCTTCCGTGTGACCCTTGTGACCACCTCCAACTCTACAATTCTATTATGCTATGGTGTCCTCTTTTCCAGGCTCATAGCTCAGTGATCAGAGCACCTGCTCGGTCCCAGGATCAATCCCCAAGGACATATCCATGGAAGGGCAGGGAGACACTCCCAACCTGAAATCCTGTTTGAGGGTTTCCCAGAGCCACCTGGTTGGTCACTGTGAGAACACGATGTTGGACTACATGGGCCACTGGCCTGATCCGATTTCAGGTCTCTTCTTATGTTCCTATGCATTTGTCATTCATAGAAGCCGAAGACATTATTGAAGCAGGGCTTCCTTTTGCAGAAGCCATGCTGATTCATCTGCAAGACTTGTCCTTCAATGTGCCTGATAGAAATTATTTTTCCTCAATTCCTAAGTCCAAAGTCCATTCCTAAGACAGAAAACAGCAGGGCCCATCTCACAAAATGCTGGAGCCGGAGTGAGATTTTGAGGATCTGGGGCAAATAGTGTTATATTGTGCTTGCAGAAGGACCAGTCTTGCTGATGAATCAACGCGGCTTCTGCAGAAGTAATTCCCGCCCCGCTAGCGACATCTACGAACAGCAAATATATCGGAACATAAATGGGGGCTTGAAAGTTGGTCAGTGAATGAACTGGATCAGTGAACAAGGCAAAGAAGGAGCCTCACCCAGAAAGACCAGATCCCCAGTGTTCTCCTCCGCAGATCCCCTGTGCAGAGACGCCTGGCCTGGTTCTGGAAGAGTCCTCTTCTCCTCCATGAAATGAACAGACATCTTCTCAAAGGGTGCCGGACCCTTATTTAAAAAGAGAGAAAGAAAGAAATTCAGAAGATAATGCCTACAAACAGATAGCAAAGGTGGAGGCCAGCTGAATTTTCTCCTGCAGGATCTGTGCTTTCAAAGAAAGACAATGCTATTTCCTCCAGGCCCAGAGGGGTGTGAGGAGACTAGGGTGAAAGGGTGTCCTCGCCCCCTTCCCCCCCAAATCCCGCCCCATACCTACCTGTCCTGGTAACACAGGAGCCACTTCCAGACGGCTGCAAAGAGGAGGAACCCCCAGCGCCGTCTCCCCATCTCTGAGAACGGTTGCGCTTTCTACGAGGAAGACGTTACAACGTTAGAGCCTAAGGATGGCGTCCTGTTCTCACAGCAAGCGACCCTGCCTGAAACCTGGGAGAGAGGCTGCCAGACCATGCAGACACTACTGAACTAGATGGACCAAGTCGGGATAAGACAGCTTCCGTTTTTTTCTATTTGGGAAGGCTCATTGGGAGAGCATCTGTTTGCATGTGGGAGGCCCAAGGTCTGATCCCGGGGGCTGTGGCAAAGTTCCCTAAAAGCACCAAGAGATGCTGCCAGTCAGAGTAGACAGTTCTGACCAGGGAGAACTCGGTAGGAGGCAGCTTTGAACGTTCAACAGAACCGCCTCACTCCTACGAAAATCAAGGGGAGCATTCGTACCAGTTCATGCGAGTCAGGAACAACCGAGGGGGGGGGTCCTCCATGGGGGTCCTTACCCAGGGAGGGGGGCCCTCCGTCCCCCTCCTGCTTGATCCACTTGAAGAGCAGCCTCTGCGCAGCCTCTGGCGGATGTTCCTTGGCCCCTGGGAAATCTGTGGCCCCTTTGGCTAGCAAGCCCTGCAGCTGAAAAGGGCAATGAAAAATTGTGAAAAATATGCATCCGTTGCCACTGTTGATCAGAGTGGGTTACAAGAATTGCACATCAAACCGTAACAAAAATGCTGAAATCAGCTAACTAGCATAGAAGTCCGTATTCTTAGCTTGCCTTCCTAGGCCTGGCGGAATAGAGGATTTCCAGGCAAACGTTTTAAGAGTTGAAGTGGGAAGCAGCCTGCTGAATCTCGAGTGGCAGAGAGTTCCACAGGCACTCATCCGGCGACACTAAGTGTTTTTGTTGTTTTCAAATGAGCCTCGCCACCTGGAGGGACGACCAGCGATGCTGCTGCAGATGATGTCAGTGATGCAGCTGAGATATAAGGGTTCAGAAGGCGATCTCTGAGGTTCCCTTAGACCTAAGTTTGGGCTTTGTAAATTAACACAGGAACTTGAACCTGCCTTGGTAGTAGATGGGCAGCCAGTACTCACAGAATGGTGGCGTTGGAAGGGACCTCGAGGGCCGTGTAGTCTCCCCTGCAATGCAAGAATCTCAACAAATGGTTCCCCATCCAATTTGAAACCATGCATAAATAAATTTCTGTACAATTTAGGTAGTTCTGTCCCTATAATTATCAAAAGAAAAACTTCTTGTTTTTTTGAACATCCTTTTCAATTCATTATATATCATTTCCCCTTCCAGCCACAAGCCTCACCTGCATGTCTTCCTGCTTTCTGTCCTCTGCCTGGCTCAGGATGAAACCTTCTGCCAGGGCCACCGCCTGGGAACTGGTCTCCGCTCCACACTCCCTGACCCAGCTCTCCATCTCCGGGGGGAGGACAGCCAAGAACTGCTCCAGGACCACAAGGTCCATTATCTGGGCTTTTGTGTTCCTTTCCGGCTTCAGCCACTGATAGCACAGTGAGCGGAGCTGGCCACAGATCTCTCTTGGACCCTCAGCTTCCTGGTAGCACAACTCCCGGAAGCACTTTTGCGGTAAGTCCCCCCAGATGGCCCCACTGCTCCCAATCTGGACGATGTGGGGACCTTCTCCCTCCTCGGGCCCAGATGAGTCTTGCTCCTCCATCCTTGAGCTTCACAACAGCTTGGCCTCCAGCACAGAACCTCCACCACCGCCTTCTTTCTGGAGGGTAGGAGCGTGTGACTTTGGGGCAGGGTGAGGAGGAGATTAGGATCTTGCAAAGGTCCCCCCTCTGGCAAAACTGGAAGATGCCTTCAAAGAAGCAGAGGAGGAAACTGGGTCTGCAGTCTGCAAGGAAAAGCAGGTGAGATTTAGGGAACAGGACACCAGGGGGAAGCGGAGAAGTAGGGACTTTCCTTCTCCTAGGAGGCAGAGACCTAAATCTGGACCAAGACAAGGGGATGGAGGATCTCTCGCTAGGGATCAACCCAAACTCCTTCTGCCCGCTGACCAGAAAAGTCATGTCTGTTCCACCCTCCCCCACAAAAAAAGCCCACTCTGAGATTCCTTTCACTCTCCAATCTTGAAAGGGCAAACTCCTATTACGAAAAGGTGGGCTGCAGAACGTCTAACAAAATTTTGCTTTAGAAAAGAAATAATTGTGGTGGTTCCCTCATAAGTGAGGTTCATAGACCACAGAATTACAGAGTTGGAAGGGACCAAGTCCAACTCTCTGCAATGCAGGAATCTTTTGGCCAAAGTGGGGCTTGAACCCACAACCCAGAGAGCCTCGTGCTCTACCAACTGAGCTATCCCAGGACTCAGATAAAACTCAGCCGGTAGGATTGCACACGGTGAGTCGTAGGGACGCAGGTGGTGCTGTGGTCTAAACCAACCAGAAGGTCGGCGGCCCCAGCTCCTGCCAACCCAGCAGTTCGAAAGCACACCAGTGCAAGTACCTTTTTACATGGTGAATCAGGAGCGAATGTTTTGTTTGAATATAATACCTCAAGTTATTTGGATGCTTCCAAATGCACTGAACGTGGTACAATGATGATGATGATGATGATAATAATAATAATAATAATAATAATAATAATTCTACAGCCACTCCAGGTGGCTTCCAGCAAAATATAAAAACATGACATCAAACATTAAAAACTTCCTGATCCTGCTTCTTTGAGAGAAGCTGAAAATTTAGGATATCAACTTATTATTCTATATGAACTCAACTTATTCTATATCAACTCGAACGACAGGGAACTAGGCAGAGGACCCGCCCTGTAGAATGCCCTCCCGTCAGATGTCAAGGAAATAAAAATCTAACTTTTAGAAGACATATTCTGTTGGGAGCCACACAGAATGGCTGGGGCAACCCACTCTGATGGGTGGCATATAAATAATAATAAATAAATAATAATAATAATAATAATAATAATAATAATTTATATCCCGCCCTCCCCAGCCAGAACCGGGCTCAGGGCAGCTAACACCAGTAAAATTACAATAAAAACATAATGGCAGGGGGAGAGAGGGGGGGAACCAATTTAAAATACAGGTTAAATGATATAATCATTACTATTATTAAATTATTATGGAAGCCACCTGAGGGGAGAGATGCTCTTGGGCTCCAATTCTTCTTTGCAGGCTTGGCCACCGTAAGGACACAGTGCTGAGATTCCTGTCTTGAAGGGGGGGGGGTTGGACTAGATAACTCTCAGGGTCCCTTTTCCAACTCTAGGATTCTGTGATTCTAACACTGGATGCTGGACTAATGAAACTACAGGGCTCTTCACGTGATCTCTGTGTGCATGCAGGCACACGTGTGTGAGTGAATGAGAGAGAGCGCACCTTTAGGGAGAAACCCGTCTCTTCTGTGCAACGATTCTATGAATCAGCTGCAACACCCCCCCCACCTGACTCGCAGCTTCCCTGCCTGCTCTCTCTCCAACCCCACCCTCAATTCCACGGGTATTGCATTGCATTGCACACACACAAACACACACACACCCCGGAGCTTGCTGCACCCCAAGGCGCGTTGCACTCACCCGACTCCTTGCAGGGCAAGGGCGGCGCGCGATGGCAGAGGAGGCGGGCCAGCTGTTCCGCTTAAGCCACGCCCCCTTTCCCAAGGGAAGAGGTTGGGCGGAGTAAGGGGGGGGTCAGTATCCAGCATTCCCTTCTCTCTCTTTTTCTCTCTAGCAGCTTGCACTCTCTGGCTTTAACCCTTAAGGCAACTTCACGCGGGGGGGAGGGGAAGGGATGGAAAGTCCGCCCCCCCCCCCCGCGAGGTTTGCAGAAAGCTGCTCTCTCCGTTTGCAAGGCTAGTCTGCGGCAGCGCCTCTGCCCGCCTAGAAAAGGAAATAAAATGCAAAGCCTGCGCTACTCTTCCTTCCATGCACGCGGGTGCATGCAAAAGCGGGGGCGGGGGCGGTCAGGATAGGAACTGCAGCAGCGGGCTCAGCAGAGGCTTTTCAAGTGGCGAGCGGTTCCCCTGGCCAAGACACGTCTGTTGGGAGAGTCTGAAAGGTAGTAAAGCAAAGACCATCTGCCCCTGTGGGCAAGGGGCATTCGCTGAGTAAATAACATTTGCTTTATAGGGGGGTTGGGCTATCCCATATCCACAATTCTGCATAGTAATTCCGCAGGGTTGGCCGTCTAGCAAAACGCACTGATCCCAAGTCCTTTAAAACACATTCTTTCCTTCAAAGTGAAATAAAAAATGCTTGGTACACTTATGAATATATATATACCAAGCAAACACGTACATAAATATATAAACCACATGTCTGAAGCGGAGCGCAGGAAAACAGCCCTGAAACCATTTTGACTCCCAAACTGTCCAAATGAATTTTCTGCAAAGGAAAATGGAAAAGCCTCCTCATTGTCTTTTCCTTCACAAATCCTGTCTTAAGGGTATGTCTGTGTATGAATAGGCTCAGGAACTAAGTACAGTGGTGCCTCGCAAGACGAAATTAATTCGTTCCGCAAGTTTTTTCTTCTTGCGAGTTTTTCGTCTTGCGATGCACGGTTTCCCATAGGAATGCATTGAAAATCAATTAATGCGTTCCTAGGGAAACCGCTTGCCAGGCTGGCGGTGCGGAGAAGGGCTTTTCTCCCCACCTCAAGCCTTCAGCACAGGTACGGGAACAGAGGGGAAGGCGCGCAGCGCTTTCCCTCTGTTCCCGGGGCTTGCGTGGGAGGAGGGTTTTTCCTCCCCACCACCAACATTCAGAACAGCATTCTGAATGTTGGCGGTGGGAAGGAAAACCCTTCTCCCACCCCAAGTCTTCAGGACAGCCATCCGAAGGTTGGCGCGGGGAGAAGGTCTCTCCGCCCCCCGCCCCCCACGCCAGGCTTCGGTGCATCCTTCAGAGGCTGCTGCCATAGTCACGCGTCACTTCTCCAGCTGGGAGAGGGTCGCGGGGCTATGGCTTCTTTAGCCCCGCGCGCTCTCCCGGCTGGAGAGGTGACGGGCGCCTATGGAGGCTCCTGCCATAGGCGCGCGTCACCTGGGAGAGGGTCGCGGGGGGCTGCTTTAGCCCCGCGCGCGCTCTCCCGGCTGGAGAGGTGACGGGCGCCTATGGAGGTTCCTGCCATAGGCGCGCGTCACTTCTCCAGCCGGGAGAGGGTCGCGGGGGGCTGGTTTAGCCCCGCGCGCGCTCTCCCGGCTGGAGAGGTGACGGGCGCCTATGGAGGCTCCTGCCATAGGCCCGCGTCACCTGGGAGAGGGTCGCGGGGGGCTGCTTTAGCCCCGCGCGCGCTCTCCCGGCTGGAGAGGTGACGCTCGGCTATGGAGGCTCCTGCCATAGGCGCGTGTCACCTGGGAGAGGGTCGCGGGGCTATGGCTTCTTTAGCCCCGCGCGCTCTCCCGGCTGGAGAGGTGACGCTCGCTATGGAGGCTCCTGCCATAGGCGCGCGTCACCTGGGAGAGGGTCGTGGGGGGCTGCTTTAGCCCCCCGCGCGCTCTCCCGGCTGGAGAGGTGACGGGCGCCTATGGAGGCTCTTGCCATAGGCGCGCGTCACTTCTCCAGCCGGGAGAGGGTTGGGGGGGGCTGGTTTAGCCCCGCGCGCGCTCTCCCGGCTGGAGAGGTGACGGGCGCCTATGGAGGTTCCTGCCATAGGCGCGCGTCACATCTCCCAGCCGGGGAGAGGGTGCGCGGGCGGGTTTCTTTTAGCCCCGGCGCGCGCTCTCCTGGTTGGAGAGGTGACCGCGCCACCTATGGAGGCTCCTGCCATAGGCGCGCGTCACCTGGGAGAGGGTCGCGGGGGGGCCTGGTTTAGCCCCGCGCGCGCTCTCCCGGCTGGAGAGGTGACGGGCGCCTATGGAGGTTCCTGCCATAGGCGCGCGTCACTTCTCCAGCCGGGGAGAGGGTCGCGGGGGGCTGGTTTAGCCCCGCGCCGCCGCTCTCCCGGCTGGAGAGGTGACGGGCGCCTATGGAGGCTCCTGCCATAGGCCGCGCGTTCACTTCTCCAGCCGGGAGAGGGTCGCGGGGGGCTGGTTTACGCCCCGCGCGCGCTCTCCCGGCTGGAGAGGTGGACGGGCGCCTATGGAGGCTCCTGCCATAGGCGCGCGTCACTTCTCCAGCCGGGAGAGGGTCGCGGGGGGCTGGTTTAGCCCCGCGCGCCGCTCTCCCGGCTGGAGAGGTGACGGGCGCCTATGGAGGTTCCTGCCATAGGCGCGCGTCACATCTCCAGCCGGGAGAGGGTCGCGGGGGGTTTCTTTAGCCCCGCGCGCGCTCTCCCGGTTGGAAGAGGTGAACGCTCGGCTATGGAGGCTCCTGACATAGGCGGCGCGTCACCTGGGAGAGGGTCGCGGGGGGCTGCTTTAGCCCTGCGCGCGCTCTCCCGGCTGGATAGGTGACGCGCGCCTATGGAGGCTCCTGCCATAGGCCCGCGTCACCTGGGCGAGGGTCGCGGGGGGCTGCTTTAGCCCCGCGCGCGCTCTCCGGCTGGAGAGGTGACGCTCGGCTATGGAGGCTCCTGCCATAGGCGCGGCGTCACCTCTCCAGCCGGGAGAGGGTCGCGGCAGGCTGCTTTAGCTTCTTTTAGCTTCGGAGCATCCTTCCGAAGCCTGGCGGCGGGAAGAGGTCTCTCCGCCCCGCCGCCAGGGCTTCGGAGGAGGTCCGAGGACAGTGGGGAAGACGCGCTGCGCTTCCCCGCTGTCCCGGAGATTTCCCTATGGCTTTCGTCTTGCGAAGCAAGCCCATAGGGAAATTCGTTTTGCGAAGCGCCTCCAAAACGGAAAACCCTTTCGTCTAGCGGGTTTTCCGTCTTGCGAAGGCGTTCGTCTTGCGGAGGTACCACTGTTATTCATCATTACAGAAGACTGGCCAGGTTCCCCAGGGTACTGACTTCGGTTCCGGTCGCGGACGGCGAGGAAGCGAGGAAAGCCACGCTGAGGGTTTTCCGAGTATTTCGGGATAGGGGGTGTCGCAAGGGCACTGCGCCCCCCAAAAAGCGAAAGCCCGGGGGGGAACCCCTGGGGGAAGGTTTCCAGCGGCGTGGAGCGGCGTTTACAGCTGAGAGCCTCCCCTTCTCAGGCAGAGAAGGGAGACAGGGCGGAGCCGCAGGCGCACAAAGGGAATTACCATCTCCGAAATACGATGCCCCGAGCTTCCACCGAGAAAGGCGACGAACCTCAACAAACTTAAAAACGGAACCCCCATCGTTACTGGACTTAAAATAATAGGAATAGAAGGAGTACAGATGGTGAGTCCGGACAGTAATTGATTGTTATATATGGTCACTATCCGACGCAGACCAAAAAGAGTGCAGACTCAGAGAAACGCAGTTAGTAAGAGGGTTGAATACCGCATATCGACCGAACTGTGTATATTTCAAAAGGAGGAGGGTTAACTTTTTTCTTTACTGGCTAAACTAAATGAACGAACCGGACCTTCATTGGTAGGAGGTCAAAGACTGTTTGCCTAAGCAACGTATACCCCCGCGAGGAGTTTGGCGTGGTTTCACGAACGGACTTATATACTTGGTTGCTTATATTGGGACGCCTAATTGGACGCTTATTAAGAAACATTGCCTAGTTTGGTGCCCTTTCGTGACTCTTTTGTGACTCGTTACTATCTTTTTTAAAGACGAAACAGTGGGCACACTTAGTAGTAAGTAGTATAAACGTTAAAGGAACAAAACCCAGAGAACGAGGAG